AGAACTAAGAGAGACGCTCAGTTTAATGCCCCCAATGAACGGTAATGAAAACCCAGACATTTGCATCACTTAAAAAAAAAAAAAAAACCTGGACGCCCAGGACAGGACGCAAAATACGGACATGTCCGGGGAAAAATGGACGTTTGGTCACCCTACTGCATACGCAATACAATCTTTAATGATGTTATATGTTTAAGTGGTGTTCCAGCTTTCCAAACGCAACAAAACATTCTGTGAAAACATAACCTCACATTATTGATCTGAGCAGAGAATGTTCTGTTCTAGTCTCTGCAAAGTGTGTGCAGTATTTATGGTGAGTTGGACACTTGGGGCCAGCTTCATGTCCAAATGTGTTATAATTAATGGTCCTATATTACACAGAATTGATCCGTGTGAGCTTTAAGCCATGTTTTAATGCTCTTATCTCCTCAAAAACATGCCTGCAGTTGTGTTTTCTTTCATTCACACATGTTTGAGTAGTTTTATTATTAGTCTGTCAACATCTCCGAAGCTTAAAATGCTCTGTTCTACCTTGTGATGTCATGAAGAGGTAGTTTTCAAGTTAATAGTTCCCTTTTACTTTTTGTTCTGTACAGACTAGACTGGTAACAATAACAGGCAATGGAATAAAAATGAAAATACACACTTTGAAAGATAAATAAACTTGACTTTCACAGGAACTGCAAGACGACCAAAATAACAGGCCTAAGTTGTTCTCATAAGAATAGCCTAATGTAGTCTGTCTTACAGCAAGGACTTGTTAACAAAAAATGCGCTTGAAAACAATAATAAAATGAATGGAAGTTTTATTTTATCTTATAATATTGTGACTTCTCTCTCTGTGGCTGCTGCTGTGTGCCTCGGCATTTTGGTCTTAAATGTTCGTCTACATGACCCTATCTCGCTATGAGGGAGCCGCTGACTTGTCTGGTATCATGTCAGTGTCTTGTGGGATTTCAGTGGATTTCAGGTTCTCCTGGGGGCGGGGCTAGTTGGATCGGTCGGATTTGCGCTATTTCTTGTCGTCGTTTGCGCTGTCGCTGCATTTGAAGCATGTGGGCCACTGAGACATATCCCACTCACTAGTGTTGATTTGGCATCGTGACTTGTTTTGTCACATGGAGATGAACTGTTTTGGTGCTCTGACAGCGGTGCTACTGTTGCGTCTGTACTTCAGCACAGACAGCAGCGCTTTCTGCACTCAGGCAAAATGAGTATACGCTGTGTTGATGAACAAATAATCCATCTATACCATAGACCGTATACAGGCTATGCTGACACATTCATTCAAGCATTATTATGTGAAGAAAATGAGAGAAGTCATTAGAGAGCGATAGAAGCCTTTTGACATTCAGCCTCTTTAGTAGAGAGGCTGATGCCACCTAGTGCCTCCGCTCAATTTCATTTCTCTTCAGCGACTAGGTCAGGAATCAGAACACAGTAGACGGTTTGCAAAAACCCCGGAAGTTGTAAACCGCTCTCCGGCCAATCACAGAAGAGCTGTGAAGACATGCCGTCAAACTCGTCGCGCCTGTCTGGGTCCCCTTAGTGGTACAGCACAACAGTAAACAAAGAGTCGAGATGGATGTAGATGAAGACAAACATTCTGTGTTGGCAACGATTCCCGAGATCAAGGATTTAAAGCTGGAACTAAGAGAATGTTTGATGAATTTTATCAAGAGAAAAGACTTATTGCCCTTCTTCCTGCGGGATTTGGCGCATTACATACATCACGACCAAATAGCAGCGATTGGTTAAATTTAAAAAGTACCCGCCTACTGTCGAGCGAACGAATCCTAACGCTGCAAGGTCAGACGATTTCCATGAAGTGAAACCAGCTGCTAAATCAGGCTAAGAGAGAGCGAGAGAGATGAAGAAAACAAACAAGCATGCAAATAGAAATGATAGCGGTTGGAAAAGTTATCGAGCTTGTTAAAAGTTATCGTGCGATTAACTGACGTATTGATTATTGTTACAGGCCTATTCTGGACTGAAACGATCACACGGTGGTGAATAACAGGCACACGGTGAATAACAGGCATGACTAACCCAGGGCTAATGCTGCTCTAATGCTTGATTGAAGAGGCAGACAGGGCATCTGATTTACATCTGTGCACCAGTTTTTGACAGTTCTTCTGACTCATTACCTCGATGTAATTTCACACTTTTTATCCACCCACCTGCGGCAGAGAGCCTTTTATAGTCAATGTGTTTTGTAAAATGGACTGAACTGTATTCAATCAGCCATTTTACCATGTTAATATTGTTCCTATTCTGTAGTGACCCATCAGAAACTATTCATCTGTTGTTTGCTTACTCCTCTGATTTTGGTTGGAAAAAACTGTAATTTTAATGTGAATAAGAATCGATTGAATGTGTTAAATAGATTAAATGTGTTAAAAGCACCATATTACACTATTTTCTAATCTATGTCTAAATGTTCAATAAAAACATACATGAAGAGGTTTTAGATGTCATCCATGCATGTTTGAGTAATCTAGTGATCTCTCCCAGGCCTTATTCTTACTGCTTAACTGTAAGACTGTAACTGTAAAGGGCCGTTCACACCAAAGCGTCAAAAAACGCCTTGACGCCTCTATTTGGACGCCTTTGCATTTGAGTTTAGACGCCCCCGGCGCGCGTTTTTGACGCCGTGGATGAACAGGACAAAAATACTTGACGCGCGTCCGTTGCCCTGGAAACAAGAGCCCGGTCCCGGTCTTTTCCTGAAACAATGTCAGACCAGACTGATAGAGTGTTTTTATGACATAAAACATCAGCGGAGGAGATCGGGTCGACGACTGGGGCGTGTTTATATTTATACTCCGCTAATGACACTGGATCAGTCCCGGTCTAGTGCTGGTCTAATATCGGTCTAGTCCTGGTCTAATCACGGTCTATTCAGGGTCTAGTCCTTAGTCTCGGTCTAGTCCTTGTTTAGTCCCAGTCTAGTCCCAGTCTAGTCCTGGTTTGGTCCCGGTCTAGTCTCGGTCTACTCCCAGTCTAGTCCTTGTTTAGTCCCGGTCTAGTCCTTGTTTAGTCCCGGCCGAGTCCTGGTTTAGTCCTGGTCCGGTCCTGGTGTAGTTCTCGCGATCGGCTCGGTGATTGTGGTGTATATATGTATTCTCCGCTCATGTTTGTGTCTCTGGTTCTCTGGTTTTTCTTCCTGATAATAACATCGCTGCGTCACTGGATACTCGGCCCTGATTGGTTGACGCAGCGCGTCTGATGTGAAAAGTTCAGCATTTTCAACTTCTTGACGCTGACGCCTTGGACGTGCGTCTAGACCGCCGACGCCAAAACGCTCAAGACGCGCGATTCGCGCCTCGCTGATGCCGAAGACGCGCCTCAAAAACGCAGGACGTTCTAGTCGCGCGTCCACATCGACTACATAGAAACTGGACGCTTTGACGCCTTGGTGTGCACGGCCCTTAAGTAACTCTTTTTTTCATGCTTTGGGTGGTCCTGCGACTTATACTCGGGTGCGACTTACATATTAAAAATTTAGGGTGCACTAGGCTTGTGTGTCAGTATCTGCTACTGCTATTACTCTTGTAACACTGTCACTTCACTCTACTGTGCATGTCTCCTGTTGCCATGCAATTTTCCTGAAAGTCTCTGGATGAATCGACAAAGCCTGTCGGGATTCAGAAAGACCAGAATAATTCTAACTGGAACTGATGCTGAGTCTGACGACAGCGATGCAGAAGAGGAAGCTGTTTACATCATGGATCTATGCTTTATCTCTGGAGGTCACGCAGACACTGAGGAAGAATTCAATGGATTTAGTGATTTGGAGTGAGATCGTGAGTTTGGTAAAATTATGTTCTGTTGTTTATGCTATAATTATCTGAATAACTGTTAATATGTTACATTAACATATTAACGCCTATTCAGTTTGTTGTTCTTTGTTCTGTTGTTATTACTAGAACTTGTCTTTCAAGGTGAAATGCTCCTGGTCTCTGATTTTATAAAATACATTTTCCCAAAAAGTGTGACTTATAGTCCGGTGCGACTTATATATGTTTTTTTCTTCTTCACTGCGCATTTTTTGGCTGGTGCAACTTATACTCCGGAGCAACTTATAGTCCGGAAAATATGGTATATGAGTTTGGAGATCGTTTGACACACAAATCAAAATCGCGATCAAAATTCGATTTATTGCACAGCCTTACTGTCAAGTATTCCTTCTAATTTAAGAAATTAACTGTATTCTGAATACCACCAAAATTAGTGTTCTGAATATACATAATAATATAAAAAAAGTACAAAACTTCACCAAACTACAAAAAACAGTAGTCTAACGTGTATTCCACACTTGAATACTGTCGATATGAGTTGAAATATTATGCGTGGGATATTCATACAGACAAATCCTGCCGAGTAGAGACTATGTTATGTAACCTTCTGTACTGTACTACTAGCACTGCAGTAACAGCTCTCCTGGGACCGTGGACGGGTGTGAGCACTTTCATCAGCTCAGTGACTTGCTCAACGGCACCGCTTTGACAGGGTAATGGTGCTACGGAGCTGTAATGGGCCCTGATTCCTGCTATGTGGGGACATTCTTGAAAACAAAGGAGGTGGAAAGCTATAGGAGGAGGTGTAGAGGATTTATAATGCATGACTAATGCAGGTAGTTGGCAGCTGGGGTTGGTACGGCGCTCGCGTACTTTGTGAGGCGGAGAGTATTTTCAGAGTGGAATTCAGCAGTAAGAGGAGATAGAAGCAAGTGAGGCAAGTGGAAGTGCCAGTTCCTTCAACATAACGATGAATGAGTCATGCTCCGTTTGGATGTACAGTAAGTGCACACATGTTGTAAACTAACATAAACTAGCGGGACATGAAAAAAGACATTTGTTTTTAAAAGGCAAATGCTGTTCTCCATTGCTTTGTCTAGAATGTTTCACAGTATGACATTAAACCTTTGTATCTTCATGGAGAACAAACCAGGTCAAGTTACAGGTCGGGGGGCTCAGTTATAAAGCTTGCTCATGCACAAATCCTTTTATAGGTGCTCTTTACAACAACCGCGGGATTTATGAAACTCCTACTAAGCGCCGTGCTTTGCTTTTCTTTACAGTATCTGCCAAATCTGTGTTCTGTTTGCTGGAGCGCTCAACCCCTGACCGCTGATCCACGGATCCCTCAGACGATCAGACAGTTTCGAAGAAGTGAAACCGGCTGATGAATCAGGTTAAGGTTTTGGGGCACAGATGACTTGAATTTGTTTGTGTAGCGCACTTGGAATTCTCTGTGCATGTAAAATATGTGCAGCCATCATAATATTAAATGCAGGTATTCATTTATATGTAATTAGTAACGTCCTTGCAGTCTCAGTGGTGAATCACTTAAAACACTAATTATGTTAACCCAAAATGTAAAAAACAGCTTTGGGCTCTGGTCTTCTTTTATTATCTTTTTTACTTGGGAATAGAGTTTTGTTGCAGTCATCTTTTATTCCCAAACATTATCCAGTTTACATTAAGTTATCCAGTTGTTTTATGTTTTGTATTTTGTACAAACCAGTCAAAAAGCTGAATTAGTTTTTAATTAAAGGTGCATTGTGTAACTTTTCTGGTGGAGGGTCCGACAAATGCTTTTCTCCTTTCTATCTTCATGGAGACCAAACCAGGTCAAGTTACAGGTCAGGGGCCTCATTTATAAAGCTTGCTCATGCACAAATCCTTGCATAGGTGCTCTTTACAACAACTGAGGGATTTATGAAACTCCTAATAAGCGCTGCACTTTGCTTATCTTTACAGTATCTGAAGTGTTTCATGCCAAATCTGTGTTCTGTCTGCTGAAGCGCTCGATCCCTGACCGCTGATCCACGGATCCCTCCCCTGATCCTTTCGCTCTCCTGGGGATCCTAATGCCACAATGCAATTTCGACGAAGTGAAGCAAAGATGACTTGAATTTGTTTGTGTAGCGCACTTGGAGTTCTCTGTGCATGTAAACATACGTACTGAGTGCAGCCATCGTAGTATTAAAAGAATAATCCAGTTTGTTGCAATGCAGGTATTCATTTATATGTAATTAGTAACGTCCTTGCAGTCTCATTGATGAAACACTTAAAACACTAATTATGTTAACCTGAAATGTAAAAAACAGCTTTGGGCTCTGGTGTTCTTTTATTATCTTTTTTAGTTGGGAATAGAGTTTTGTTGCAGCCATCTTTAATTCTCAGACATGTATTACTACTCTGCTGTCTCGACTCACTTCGAAACACTAAGTTATCCAGTCGTTTTATGTTTTGTATTTGTACAAACCAGTCAAAAAGCTGAATTAGTTTTTAATTAAAGGTGCAATGTGTAAGTTTTGTGGTGGAGGGTTCGGCAAATGCTTTTCTCCATTGCTCTGTCTGGAATGTTTCAAAGTATTGCATTAAACCTTTGTATCTTCATGGAGACCAAACCAGACCAAGTTACAGGTCAGGGGCCTCATTTATAAAGCTTGCTTATGCACAAATCCATGCACTGGCACTCTTTACACCAACTGCAGGATTTATGAAACTCCTACTAAACGCCGTGCTTTGCTTCTTTTTACGGTATCTGAAGTGTTACAGGCCAAATCTGTGTTCTGTCTGCTGAAGCGCTCGATCCCTGACCGCTGATCCTCGGATCCCTCCCCTGATCCTTTCGCTCTCCCGGGGAGGGCATCTGAATCACTCGCACGCGCTCACGGACGTCTGCTTTGACCATTCAGACCCCCGCATACCTTCAAAATATAGCGATAGAACTCTTGAAACAGTGAGAAAACTATTCGGATTTACTGCAAAGATGTGCTGTCTAAATATTATGAAATATTAGTAAATGAACAGATGGGTGGTTGTTGTCACTTTTAGATTTGTATTTATTTGTAAAACCTGCTCAAACCCTCTGATTATCGGCTGATGTTTAGGGAAATCTCATTCACGAGTCACTTTACATGCTCCTTTTATGGTGAGGTGGAGGTGTGGAGAGGGCGTGGTCTGTCCTTTTATGGTGAGGTGGAGGTGTGGAGAGGGCGTGGTCTGTCCTTTTATGGTGGAGGTGTGGAGAGGGCGTGGTCTGTCCTTTTATGGTGAGGTGTGGAGAGGGCGTGGTCTGTCCTTTTATGGTGAGGTGGAGGTGTGGAGAGGGCGTGGTCTGTCCTTTTATGGTGAGGTGGAGGTGTGGAGAGGGCGTGGTCTGTTCTTTTATGGTGAGGTGTGGAGAGGGCGTGGTCTGTCCTTTTATGGTGAGGTGGAGGTGTGGAGAGGGCGTGTCTGTCCTTTTATGGTGGAGGTGTGGGAGAGGGCGTGGTCTGTCCTTTTATGGTGAGGTGGAGTGTGGAGAGGGCGTGGTCTGTCCTTTTATGGTGAGGTGGAGGTGTGGAGAGGGCGTGGTCTGTCCTTTTTATGGTGAGGTGTGGAGAGGGCGTGGTCTGTCCTTTTATGGTGAGGTGGAGGTGTGGAGAGGGCGTGGTCTGTCCTTTTATGTGAGGTGGAGAGGGCGTGGTCTGTCCTTTTATGGTGAGGTGGAGGTGTGGGAGAGGGCGTGGTCTGTCCTTTTATGGTGAGGTGGAGGTGTGGAGAGGGCGTGGTCTGTCCTTTTATGGTGAGGTGGAGAGGGCGTGGTCTGTCCTTTTATGGTGAGGTGGAGGTGTGGAGGGGCGTGGTCTGTGCTTTTATGGTGAGGTGGAGGTGTGGAGAGGGTGTGGTTTGTCCTTTTATGGTGAGGTGGAGGTGTGGAGAGGGCGTGGTCTGTTCTTTTATAACGAGTTGGAGGTGTGGAGAGGGTGTGGTCTGACCTTTTATGGCGAGGTGTAAGTGTGGAGAGGGCGTGGTTTGTCCTTTTATGGTGAGTTGGAGGTGTGGAGGGGGCGTGGTTTGTCCTTTTATGGTGAGGTGGAGGTGTGGAGGGGGCGTGGTCTGTTCTTTTATGGTGAGGTGGAGGTAACAGACATAAGTTACATAGTGCACCTTTCGGATTTCAGACTTCCGGTCATTGCACAATGCATACTGGGAAGGATTCTCCGAAAAAGTGAGCATCAAACCTCCATGTTTGTTTTTCCAGTGGGATGCGTCTATTGACAAAGCCGATCTTTTCTAGTCTTTTGGATCATATCGCTTTTGTTTCTGGTTCTGATATTGTCATATTTTAGTTTTGTGATTCAGACATTGTAATTGTGTGGTTGTTGGATGTACTAACAGCATAAAATGGCTCAAGAAATGGGCTTTGGAAGTTTGCGAACTCCATAAATGCAAAAGGGAATCAGATATTTGTTAAGCGAGAGGTACAGAAGACAAACAGGCTGAGCTCGCACTTTCTTATTCTTGTGGCTTTACAGCAACATCACGTCTTGGTCGCTTTGCAGTGGAAATTGTTTCTTGGCGAACAGCTGATTCCTTTCTCTTTGGTGTTGACTTTTTAAATTCGTAACCAAGGCTGAGCGAGGGATCAGGGTTTTGTTTTGATGGTGCTCCACATACAAAATGTTCGCTGCAAACTCGGGATGATTTAGGCAGTCGAAGGTTTCCTTTTTGGTCCTTCCCGTGGATCAATCCTGCCCATCACCTTCCCCTTTCACTATTTTTCTATTCCATTGGGAAGGAAAAAGGTTTGCAGTCACACACATCTGATTCCCTTTTGCAGTTACGAAGTTCGCAAACAATTTTCTCGAGCCATTTTCCGCTGTTAGGACACCCAGCAACCACACAATTATGATGTCCGAATCGCAAAACTAAAATATGACAATATCAGAACCAGAATCAAAAGCGATATGGTTCAAAAGACTTGAAAAGATCAACTTTGACAATAGACGCATCCCACTAGGAAATCAAACATGTCGGTTTGATGCTCACTTTTTTGGAAAATCCTTCCCAGTAAGCATTGCGCGATGACCGGAAGTCCGAAATTCATGATGCATCTATTGAGCTAAAGGGACCAGGACAGATTTCATGTGTAAATTGATACTTTGCAGCTATGTCATCAGCATTCCCTGGGTGTGTGACACTAACTGTAGGCTCTGCTCTGTCTCAGGGTTTGCTTGACTTTTATCTGAGCTTTAATTTAACACAATCTAACCAGAAAGAAGTGACAATCTAAACATTTTTTTGGCTGTGTTTGCTCATGTGTGCAATGTGTCACCATGGTAACTGCTGAAAATTCTGACATAGACATACATGTAGTCCCCCCAGTGTGATGTCACAGTATCAAAACTTTTTTTGCTTGGGAAATGAATAACATGTACAGCCTGTGCTTTAAGTGTAGCAGTATGTCGATAGGTTGGTGGTTCAATTTTCACTTTTGCATTAAAAACTGTTGGACAATTCATTTTGCAGAAAAAAAGACTGAATGACTGAATGAGGATTATGTTTTGGAAAACGTCATAATCGTTTTTCCCCGCTGCACTTAGAGTTGTGATTTACAGTTTTCATCAATTTTAGTTTTCGTCGCAAATTTGAATCACTTCCAGAGGCGTTCACATTTGAAAGAAGACTGGAAAGTAAAGCACTACACAGAAAGTAGTAGTTTTCAGTACATTTCAGAACATGTTTATAGCAATCTAAGATATAGATTTGATAAAAAATAAAAGCCCACCGAGAGTATTCTGCAGAGGACATTATATTACCTACATAAATGTGACCTTTCCAGACTTTGAAAATTGAAATAGCTATTTCATTTTGACTGGAAAAATACTACGGCCATAAGAAGTCTCTCCTCTGGCCGCTATAGGACCAATAACAAATGTTGATATAGAATGTGGAAACACAAACACTGGACACTGGGGAATGGAGGAACAGAATCAGCTGGAGGCAAAAGGGAAGTAAACAGAAAGTGATTTCAATGGAGAAAGTGAGATTAACCTGAGAATATTTCAAGTGTGAGAGATGTCAGAGCCTGGGTCAAAGACGTTTACAAGTGTGATATACAGGATCTGTTTACTTAGCACGAGATTAGTACACAGAGCATTTGAGATAAAGGAAAAATCTACAGGTTTAGGTTTGACTGGACAAATACTTAGAGAAATGTAGAGCCCACTACATCCACAGATACATTCAACATTTCACTATAAATTATACTTTTTTCAACCTCACATACAATATTTTTTTCCATCTTTCTTAATTAAGAAGTAAACCAACTGACATTTCAACACTGGAAATTCAAATTGTTGTTTATTTTTTGTTATAAAGTCTTAAAACCATTAGTATTTCCATCTGTTAATCAGTTAAAAACAGTTAATCGGTTAAAAATATATTATGACCGCTTCATTTTGCATCCAGTCACATGACTTTGTGATGTCTTAGCATTTGAAAGGGTTTATATCAGGAGTCTCCAACCTTTTTTCCTCCGTGAGCTACTTTAACCAAAACAACCCTGAGCTACTTGTGTTCAGAAATTTTATAACATATTTTGCCTGAACAAAAAGCATTTTCAATTTGCCTTAAAGGGATAGTTCGGATTTTTTGACATAAATCTGTAAGTCATCCCCGTCATCAGTGTTGTGCATCCACACCGACTTACCCCCCGAAAGTGTCCGGTGAGCCGAGATACTGGCCGGTTTTGGTGCTGAGGAAAGTAGTTTGGCAAGTTGTGTGGGGACTGTATACTAAAGCGTTTTTCTTTTCAAAGCAATATGTGTTCAAAAGAACACATTGGCGCTATTTTCTCTCCGTACGTATCATTGCGCGCGACCGCCAGGTGACAGCCGCGCACGGATCCATCACTTTCTTCAGTTGTTCGGCAGTGTTTACATGCACAGACCGCGGCCACGCGAGAGAGCTAACGAGAGAGCTAGAGCCATAAGTATATGAGCTTGTATAAGATACATATGAATATATCTAAGAAAATGGTGCGAACTCTTGATTCTCCAGGCTGTAACAACAAAAATCTGGCTGAATCTCCACGCACATTTCACTGTTTTCCTGTCACGGACTTTGCGCTGAGGAAACTTTGGCTTCTTGTCTTTGGCTTCAATGTGGAAACGAACCAGGTAAGAACGAAGAAGTGCCGCTATGTTTACAAGAGAACAGACTCAAGAATCAGCTGTAACTCTGTGTGCAGTAAATCACTCAGTGTCATATCACCAGTGAAGCTTCTACAAAACATAACTTTATAAGTCGACTGTTATTACTATTGTAAATGTCTCGTACACTGTTGGCAGCAGCTACGTGGACGTGTGGATGATTCTATGTTTCTATTAGTCGTCCATGCTTCAGTCACAGTGGAGGCTCTATGTTCGCTGTATACGAGTTTATAAATGACGTGATGGTGATTGTCGCTCACTCGGTCTCTCACGGCTCCAGCTTCAACTTGTACCACTTCTCTGTCTTCTCTTCTCTCTCTCTGCTCGTTCTAACTCCATGTGGTGAAATTCGGCATCAGTATGTTCAGGTTCACAAAGATCTCCCCTTGGGTTTGTGGTAAAGGCAAAGTCTTTATTGTCGGTGTCATAATCAGACATGTTGTCGCTCACATTCCGAGCAGTAAACAAAGTGAACCAGGCTCATATACTTATGGCTCTAGCTCTCTCGTTAGCTCTCTCGCGTGGCGGCGTCTGCGCATGTAAACACTGTCGAACAACTGAAGAAAGTGATGGATCAGTGCGCGGCTGTCACCTGGCGGCCGCGCAGTGGTACGTACGGAGAGAAAATAGCGCCAAGCGATTATGAGGTCTGACTTTTTTGGCGATGATGGTTTTGTGATGCAAATGTATCACTCTTTTGAACACATATTGCTTTGAGAAGAAAAAGGCTTTAGTATACAGTCCCCACACAACTTGCCGAACTACTTTCCTCAGCACCAAAACCAGCCAGTATCTCGGCTCACCGGACGCTTTCGGGGGTAAGTCAGTGTGGATGCACAACACTGATGACGGGGATGCCATACAGATTTATGTCAAAAAATCCGAACTATCCCTTTAATATACATTTTTTTTTATCTCCACAAATAAGATTTTGCATTTAAAAAACAAATAATGTTAATTTCACATAGAAGAGCCATTTTTATGCATTTTTAAAGCCGTGCTCTTAACTGACTAACTATACACACAATTAGCCCAGGATATCTTTCATGTGACGTGTAGTCTACTCAGTGAGCAGGCTGGCTCTGCATACTGTCAACAAGAGAGGAATAAGTTGGAGTGTAGCCACTCTCACTTTCACTCTGATAGAGTCATTCAAGTGTTCATCAGTCTTGTCCTGTACTTTGATTTGATTACATTCAGATCAGAAAAAGCCACCTCACACAGGTAAGCAGACCCAAACAAAGCAGACTTTTCAGTACAACCTCATTAAGAGTTTTAAAGTCATTTGATTCTACAAGGCTCCAGAAATGTGCAGAATTCTGCTGAGACTTAAGCTGCACATTATTTTGAATGTTTATCATCTTCAGTTACATTTCCACAGGATCAAAACAGAAACGTTCAGCCATCTGACCTGAAATCTCACTTATGTCCACATCCATGAGTGGGTTTACCATAAATGTCACACAAGGTTGAAGTTTGTCAAAGTCCCTAAATTTAGCTGAAGTTTTACCAAAAGCTCACAGTATTTGGAAACATTCAAAGCACTGGCTGCATCTGGATCACCATCACACGTGTTTGAGACTGAAGCAAGAGTGCTGTAACTTTTTGTTTGTTACTTGCTGAATATACAATAAGCATTGACTGTTCTGACCGCACTGTTCATGTCACACACATGTTTATTCTTGCCCTGTGACTGTGTGTTCAGCTGGTTGTTTTTATGTGTTACATCGGTCAGGAACATGAGATCAAGAAGCCGCTCTGCATCAGTGAACAGGGTGGCATCTTCCCCCCCAGTCTCCATAAAAGTCTTAATTTCATCCAGCAATGAAAGAAAGTGTTGCAGTATCTTACCGCCACTTAACCGTCTGACTGCCATGTGAAGGAGGAGATCCCCGTGGTTTGCAGCACATTCCTGCAGGAACAATTTGAAGCTCCAGTGCTGCTTTGCCTTTGCTCGAATGGAGTTGACAGGTCCCATAACGTACTCAAAATCCAGAACTTTAGCACATATTTATTGCTGATGTAGAATACAATGGTAGTTCGGAAATCTGGGAAAGTCCAGGTCTGATTTGCACTTTGCAGTAAATCCAAAGTGGCGACATATCCGGGCCCCGTCATTTGTTATGGACACGAGCTCCTCAATGGGAATCTAGCAAAAAGTCTTTTACTGCGCTGTAAATGTCCATTCTTCTGATGGCAGTTTTCAGTGGAAGTGAGGTTAAAAACTCCTCTTTGGTGGAAAAGTCCTCAAATACGACACAAATGAAAACCTCGAGCTGGGTGGTATGGCTCACATCCATCAACTCATCGCATTGGAAAACCATTTGCACCTCTGAATGTCCGAGTCAAGCTGTTTTGCAGCATCCTCGGACAGTGCAGTCACTCTCCTGGCCACTGTGTTGGCCCCAAAGTGCCCGTCAGACATAGCAGACAAAATCTCAGTCTTACATTTATGATCCTGAAATAACATTTCAGCGACCACAGTCATAGCCTCCTTTACAATGACACCATCGGTAAAAGGTTTTTTGTGCTTCATCAGTATGTGTGCTACTTTAACTGTCGCCTCTGTGGCAGCGTTTGATCTTTTCATAGACTTAGCAAATAAAGACTGTTGTCTCTGGAGCATTGATTTGAGCTCCTTTACCTTCCCTTTGTGTAGGTTGCTACCTGTGGGAAACTCACATGAACAGTTGCTGTGGATTTTGGTAAAATGGCATGTACATTGCATCTCTTACCGAAAGCCACGCGAATCGTCGTTGTTGCCATTCGAGAATAAAAAGTCCAATTCTCACTGTTCATGAAAACTAGAGTTAGTTAACTCATCTAACTAGTTTTAGGCTTCTTTGCTGCGCTCATGGTGCAGCAGGTGTCAAGGCAAAGGTCAAGTTTGACTGAGACAGCAGCGCTAGTACCGTTTGATTGACAGCTAATTGACAAATAATCTGGTTTGTACATGAAGGGGGCGGGTCACCAGTGAATTTGGTAGAACAAATGCGTGTAATGCGTGAAAGTTTTATTTATTTATTTATTTTTTTATATATAAGTGACAAATCAAATTTGACGGCTAAATATAGGTACATTTTTGGAAATTCTTTCACAAGTTACTCAAAATGAGCCACGAGCTGCTGCTACATGCTGGAGGTCGCTGGTCTATATAATGACATGATGCACACAGACTCATACCATCAATCAGTCTAAGTCAGTCTGCACTTTTTTGGCTTTGGGTGCCACTATGAAAAGTTCATGCTTCCACCACTGCAGTCACATGATATTCAACTTTTTTTGGTTCATTTATTATAAATTGCTACATTGCAGTCAAATGTTCCATGGTGTAAATAGTAAACAACAGCCCCTTGGCCCTCAATCATGAAAAGGGGGTTTGGGGGAAGTTTTCCAAGAAAATGTGGTGCTTTTGGGTGACATTTTGCTGACATTTAATATTTCATGTGCTCAGCAGCATCATGTATTATTAATGATGCTGTCTGCATTTCAATAAACTGTGAAAAACATCATCATAGTAAACATCATGTCAGTTATGATGAGCCAAGCAGAACATATGTGTTTTTTCCTTCATGTGTCCTCTGTGGCAGCATGCCTGCTTTTCCCTGAACCCTGCCGTCATATTACCATGAGCAGACTGTTACATCTGCACATGACCATAAGAGGGCGTCATATAAGAGGGCGCTCTGTTGTCACTTAACGTGACCGTGTGCATATTTTTACATCAGCACATGACCATAAGAGGGCGCTGTATAAGAGGGCTCTGTATAAAAGTGTACTCACGGCGGTCCACCACGTGCCGGGGTTGTCCAGGCCACAGTTGTCGCTGTACTCCAGGCAGCAGGAGTCTGGCACACGGGACGCGTTGTACACCTCAAACCAGTCTGTGTGGTTGGTCACTCCACAGCAGCGGAACTGCACACAAACACACACAAACACACACTCTGTCACTTCTACTGTACTCAAACAATGCACGAGCAATGAGAAGAGGAGGGAGCGTGAATCAGGTACAAAAGAGGTAACATATGCACTGTTGTTGTATCCATGGGCAAGACACTTCAGCCACCACACCTGTGTCCATGTGTACTGTGCATGTGTGCATGTCTGGTTTAGTCCTGGTTCAGTGCGGGTTCAGCTCTGGTTCAGTTTTGGTTTAGTCCTGGTTCAGTCCATATACGGCGCAAAAGTTCAGCATCTTCTCAGTTATTTTGGTGAGAGTAACTTAAAAGTAATGCAAGAGTAGTGTAATGTCTTACATTTTATATGCAGTAATAGTGTAATGTAACAAATTACACTAAAAATGACAGTAACAAGTCTTAAATAACACATTACAGTTTTGAAGTAACTTGCCCAACACTGCTAATAACTGGGATCCAGATGTGCATGTAAACACACTCTGTAGAACCTTTCTATTCACATACACTGGATATAGTATATGCAGTACACGTGAGTACACTTTTGTAGTTTTAAGCACAGGGACAGATGAGTGGACCCTTTATTAGGTAGAAATGACACCCCACATATTTGCAGTCTACACACACACACACACACACACATTCTGAGTACACATAATGCGTGATCACAATCTCTCTCCAAATGATTCATACTCCTGATGTGTGTGTGTGTGTGTGTGTGTGTGTGTGTGTGTGTGTGTGTGTGTGTGTGTGTGTGTGTGTGTGTAGGGGTGTGTGTGTGTGTGAATAAATTGGTATGTGTGAAAAACAATTCATCTGATAGAGGCTCTCCAGTGCTCTCATCTTCTCGTTTGTCTCGCCGCCCCTCCCCTCCGTCTCTCTCTCTCTCCTACTCCTCTTCCTCCTCTCCTCTGCGTCCCCCTCCCTCCCCTCTTTCACCTCCTTCTTCCTCAATCCGTGTATCATTCGTTCATTCGTTTTTCAATATAAAACCAAAAATAAGAAAACGAATAAACAACAGTTTTCTTCGTTATTTGTCTCCAAAACCAAAATAAAAAAATGGATAACAATTCCTTTTTTCAGTTTTCGATATTGTGTTTAAATGAAGAATGGAAAAAACGGATAACGGCCGTTTCCCGTTTACGTGACTTCTGTGACTGTGATGCCGGACTTTTGCACCACATACATACTGAACCAGGACTGATCCAGGTCCGAGACCAGACCGGGACCAGAGCGGGACTGAGACCGGGACTAGACCGGGACCAGACAGGGACCAGACCGGGACCAGAGCAGGACTGAGACTGGGACCAGACTGGGACCTGGACCAGACTGGGACCAGACTGGGACCAGACTGGGACAGACTGGGACCACTGGGACCAGACTGGGACCAGACTGGGACGAGCGGTCCGAGAGGTTCCATGTCATCGTCTGCGCGCTGGTTCCGTGCGGGGAAAGCGAGAATGTGCTGTGGACTACAGGTCCGGACGGGCTGCTCCGGTCCTCCGCGCTCAAGAACCACGGCTGGTTCTGAGGTGGTGCAAAGCATCCAACTGACGCTTTCACACCAACGAAAACGAACCGAACTAAGAGCTTTTTGTTCAAATGGACCAGGTCCGGGACCAGACCAGGACCAGAGGCTCAGAGCCCACGGCAGGACCGGAGCTCGAAGCTGAGGCTTGGACCCCGCGGAGGCTCGGAGTCAAAGCTCGGAGTCCGCCATGGTCCCGCTCTGGTCCCAGTCTGTCCCGTTCTCAGTCCCGCTCTGGTCCCGGTCTCAGTCCTGCTCTGGTCCCGGTCTGGTCTTGGACCTGGATCAGTCCTGGTTCAGTACGTACGCGGTGCAAAATCCGGCATCGCAGTCACAGAAGTCACGTAAACAGGAAACGGCCGTTATCCATTTTTTCCATTCTTCATTTAAACACAAAATTCGAAAACTGAAAAAACAAATCGTTATCCGTTTTTTCATTTTGGTTTTGGAGACAAATAATGAAGAAAACTGTTGTTTTTGTTTTTTTTTTTTATATTGAAAAACGAATGAACGAATGATACACGGATTTTCCTCCGTCTCTCACTTCTCCATCTCCTCCTCTCCCCGTCCAGCGTCTCTCCCACCCTCTTTCTCCTCATTCTCCTCTCAGCCCACTTTCCCTCCTCCGCTTCTCCCTCCTCTCTTCTCCTCCCACCTCCCTCGTCTCATCTCATCTCATCCCTCTCCTCCTCCATCCATATTCCCTTCCTCTCATTCCCCCTCTCCTCCCTCGTGATTGCTATAGATTTGTTTCTCCAGGATCATCTCTTTCTCTCTCTCTCCTCCAGGATCATCTCTTTCTCTCTCTCTTTCTTTCTCTCTCTTTCTTTCTCTCTGTGTCTATAATTCGATTCCCGGGCGTACAGCGGCGGGCTCCGGTGAAGTGTCCGTGCTGTTTTCGTTCACAGGATAAGCTCTAATCCCACGACGGGACGCGAAGGAAGAAAAGACACGCCCACTTCAACCACACACT